ATTTCTTGTACTAGTACTTTCACCAGGGTCGTGCGGCTGTCATTTTTATGTGGTGGGGTGAGGTTCGTAGTGTGCGTGCATATTGCATGCACATATCTACTTTGAATATAAAATACTGCCGACATAAATATGGGAGTGCTCGGAGGCACAATATCTTATTTATGAGACACCTATTCTAGCAACATGGATCGGCGAACGAAAGTACCACTCCAATTAAAATCGAAACTATACTATTGGTCTTATCTCTATGTACACTGACCCAGACGTAGCTCCGTTCTGTAATCAAGTGAACAGCTTATGCTTAGTCAGCTTTTAACGGGAGTCGGAGTGGTGACGTTTTGTGACGTATCATCGCATCGCTCCACCGCATAGCCGGTGCGGCGAGCATCAAACCGGCCAAATATTCTTCTTCTTGTTTTTGTTCACCTATTGATCGTGGCGCATACTCACTATGGGGGATTGGCTAAGAATCGAGTGGCTTTAAAAAATATTGCTCAGATTCAGAATAATGGAGATATAAGAGAAAGATTACCGATAGCCTAGGAAAGTGAAGTGCTTGATCTAATGCATAAAATTATTCAAATAAAGAAATGAATTCATTATTAAAATAGAGCAATATTCTGATTTTAAACGTATTTAATTTTGTAGACACGTTAGGATAATCAAACAGATTAATTAGTCAACCAATTGGTTTGATCAATATAGTCTTCGTCGCCGCATCGCACCTCTGCATGGCTGCAGCGAATCACAGCGCGAGCAGACGAGTGGCGCCATCTCTCTGTCGCCACTCCCATCACCCGTAGTCCACGCACAGAGCACGTTATATATATATATATATATATATATATATATATATATATATATATATATATATATATATATATATATATATATATATATATATATATATATATATATATATATATATATATATATATATATATATATATACATATATTCTTCCTCATCTACTTCTACAAGCCATCGCTACCTTCATACGTCATATATATATATATATATATATATATATATATATATATATATATATATATATATATATATATATATATATATGACGTATGAAGGTAGCGATGGCTTGTAGAAGTAGATGAGGAAGAAGTGCAGAGTAGAATAAACATGGCGTATTAGCCAGGCCACGTCGCCCAGTCATCATAGCGTCACACGAGTCGACAGGATGGAGACCTGCCTGCCCCTTCATCAGTCACTCATCATCGACGCAGTTCCCCAGAAGACACCCTGACCATACATTGACTACCGAATCATCGCCTAGAAGGACAACGACCGGCACCATGACAGAACCATCGGCTGACCTCTACATCCCCAAGTACACCGGATCAGCGGACGACGGACCCGTACAGGACTGGTTCAACCTATTCGAGGTCCACGCCGCCGCTGCATCATGGTCGGAACGGGAGATGATCATAAACTTCACTGATTACATCTCAGGTGAGGCATTCAAGTTTTACCTCACCCACATCTTCGAGAACGATGAGTCTTGGCAAAAGATAAAAGAAGAAATGATCATCTGGTTTCAAGACTATAATCAAAATTCGGTTACAACCAGCCAAATCGATGAATTCAAATTCAGTAATCACAGTCATACGCAGCCTTCACGCAGGCGAGCACAGAGCAGAAGTTTACAATTCCCGTCAGGCGAAGTCAGTCATCTGCTCATAGAAAGACATCCCAGCAGTTTTTCTGCAAGGCCCAACCTTCCACCTGGTTTCGCATCTGCACAAATATCGCCAACGCTAACCTCTCCCATGCAATACACAAATCAAGACAATATTCAAGCCCCCAATGTACTTGACTCTTCATCTTGCTTACGAAAGCCACCACCTGGTTTTGAGCCAAGTAGCTCGTCTGGTGCTCGTTACTCTCATCGCACCCCTTAAGATATCGTCGCATACACAACAGACCACGTGAAATATCGGCCAAATAACTTGTCAAGCCACTGCCATTCCGAAAGCGGTTGTACTTCAGGAACGCTTGGCTCAATTCTCCCGCAAAGAAGTAAACATGCGGAATCGGAACCACGTCAAGCCATGTTTGCGGTGATGTCATCCTCAGGAACCGGAACAACCAAAAGTCGAAGCAGTACGGAGTCACCATTGTATGCAAGTCTCGCCGATAAAAACGAAAATGTATCTACTGCTTTCCTTGACACAAATCATGCTTGCATCCCACTCGTAAATAATGCTGGTACTACCGACAGCGTCTCCTTATTCAACGACGATGACCACCCGCAATTTTCTCGACACCATCACCAAATCAAGAAAAGACGACGATGAATGAAAACTTCAACAGAAGCACGCTCACAACTTGAACAACTTAAAAAATTAAGAAGTTTGATCCAAGGGCCATTTCAAGAAAAAAGACGTTTTCAGATGAAGGAACATCGCCACAGACGCTCTCTGCGCCAGCGGTATACACAGACGACAACACCACGGAAAACGCCCATTAATACGCGGAGCAACTTCTTCCATGCCGCCAGTCACAGGCATTTAGCCGTTACCATCTCTCAAAAAGCACGCATACTAGATACAATGCATCTGTCGCCGCCACGACTCAGAATCCAACGCATTAGACATCCAACCTTCAAACGCTACAAGTACTCCCAACCTTGTTCGTTTTTCTCTACTATCCAGGCTGTGTCATCATCATTTTCCACGTCGAATGCATGGTTATGCTTTCCAGAACGCAACAGCCAACCTCGCCCACCTGAGGTCTCCTAGATCTCACTAGACTGCCTTCCCTGTGGATGTTTTTCTGAAAGTGCATGGAACTGCCATGTTACATGGAACTACTCTATTTTGTGATATTTTTTACTATGATGAGACACCACTTGTTCATGCTTCATAGTTTGTAGCTCGCGCATTCTTTCGCGGGGAGGGGGAATCATGTGACGTATGAAGGTAGCGATGGCTTGTAGAAGTAGATGAGGAAGAAGTGCAGAGTAGAATAAACATGGCGTATTAGCCAGGCCACGTCGCCCAGTCATCATAGCGTCATATATATATATATATATATATATATATATATATATATGGTTCAGGTCAGTTCAAGCGAGTCGGTGGAGCACTGCAAGCGTGGACCTGCTGACGTCGCCGCCTGAGGCGGCGTGACAAACATCGCGTACATTTCCTTGGTGACGTGATATTATTCCGGATTGAATAAAGTGATGTTCGAAGTGTGCCGTTTCTGCACGACAACGCCCGTTTTGAAACAGTTGGCGAGATCAGAGATCGCGAGTAGCGATGCAAGGTCATTTCGCAGGTAAACACGGCTACCGGCCTCTCTGCGTTGGCTCGCTTCGCTTCCGCCTTTTCTCTTCACTTCGACGACACCGAAAAAGTAATAGCATATGCTAACGCATTACGTACGAGTGCAAAGCTCAATAGTGTTGTCAAAGACAAGCAGTGTGATGACGAGCTCGCGTGTGAACGGCGTAGGTAGAGTGAGTCACTCCGTAGGCGACGGCCAGCGATTTTTCATCATTTTTTAATGAAACGAAGCGTGGCTGTGCATTGTGTGTTTTGAGCTTTATTACGAGGATACGAAGTCGTCCGATCGTGCATGCATGCCGAGGCGCCGCAGGGGGGTGGAGCCTGCCGCTGATATCTTCTTCGCCTCCGTGTGTCCCAAAACGTCGCATGCGGCCCGCCGCACCATGCGACGTCGCACGCCGCATTGCACGGTAAATCACACGTCACCCTCTCGCTTTACCTTTAAAATTGTCATACCTTGCCTGTAACAGTGCAGACACTCAGCGCACAAGTATTTGTATCTACACATGAGCCCGCTACACATGAGCAGTTGCCTTCTTGAATATCGGGCTTGCTGGACAGGTTCTTCAACTTGAAGTAACTGCCCCGCCGCGGTGGTCTAGTGGCTAAGGTACTCGGCTGCTGACCCGCAGGTCGAGGGATCAAATCCCGGCTGCGGCAGCTGCATTTCCGATGGAGGCGGAAATGCTGCCTGTAGGCCCGTGTGCTCAGATTTGGGTGCACGTTAAAGAACCCCAGGTGGTCGAAATTTCCGGAGCCCTCCACTACGGCGTCTCTCATAATCATATAGTGGTTTTGGGACGTTAAACCCCACAAATCAATCAATCAATCAACTTGAAGTAACTGATGCGGTTCGCCGAGAAGGCTTGATGTTAGCACGCGCAGCGCAACTATATTTCCGCTGTTTTGAAAGCCAAATCTGCCGATGAGGCGTTCCGTGGCCAGAACCCTTTCACCTTGATTCAGCAAGAAATATTTAAACATTGCGCGATTCTGCAGAAACAATACGTTCTATATTCGCATTATGGCTCGATGAAGCGCTCTTCATTTCGATAATACTGGCGCCCGTTGCGTGCTCGCAATACGTCAGACCATGAGTTACCGTTTAGAGGCCGGTGTAGCCGACGTTTCTGGTAGGCCCACGATGCGCACCCACCTATTACACTTCAAAAAAAAAAAAACAAGTCGATCCACCTCGTAACGCTTGATTCAAGGCCAAAACATTCCACATAGACAATTACTCGCTGACTGCTTCGCAAAAAATCGATTCCCACAAGGCGCGAGACTTGGCCATATCTTTTATAGGTAAATTCGTTGAAGCGAAATAATTGTCACGGACGCAGTTATATGCTCCTTGGACGAAGTTACACACCTAACTCCGTCCCAGGAGTATTTTCTGAAGGTCTTGTGTTTCTCAGTATATTTCGGTTTCAACACTATTAAAAAACGTCAAAGACGACAAACAGTTAACGCTTAACAAACACTAGAGCGTAAGATTATACACAAAATGTTCATCTTGGCGCAAGAGTGAAACGCTCGACTTTTCCAACTGCTCGTCAGTGTACTGACGAGGTCGGATCCACCCGGTACGATGTTACCTGGGCGTCCTAAAATGTTGTCACATGTGGCACCCGCGGCGTAGCGCAGCTCGGGGTAGCAGACAAGTGACAACGCAGAAATAACGATACGAAATAAGTTAAAGACAGCGTATGCTATGCATATTAGACACGTCGTCCTAATCTACGCAAATAAATACCGCAGTATACGGGTTGAACTGGAGAGAGTTAAGATGAGCCCATGCGTGTCATCATGCGGCTCGTCGGCGACTTCGGGGCCGTTTGGTTCCGCTTAGTAAGCGGCTTGATCGGCTCCTTGAGATACAGATAATCCCAACACCAGGTGTTGTACGCCAGAAGCACGATCAGTGCGCAGCCAACCTTCATGGCGATGCCAGGCAGTATGAACTCGTCCTCGAGCAAGTCTCCATAGTCGGTGACGTACTCGCTGACCGGCGTCGCAGTGGACGCCATGAAGCCGAAGTAACAGCAGAAGGTGAACGGCATGAGCAGGTACAGCGGGTGCACCTTAAGCGCGTCCGAAACGTGGCAGATGAGAGGCGCGAAGATCACGATGTTGTTCAACGAGTTGTTGATCTCGGCCAGCACCAGGGCGACGAACGCGACAAGCAGCTGCACATAGAAAGCAGACGTGGTTGCGCTGCTCGGCAGCAGCCCGTCGAAGTTCTGTTGCAGCTTGTAGTGCACGATGAGCTTGGCCACGCACACACCAGCACCCATGGTGATGACGAAGGCCCACGATATCTTTTTGACAGCATGCTGTGCCATCTGGCTATGGAAGCGGCGACGTGATCGGCCTCTTCGGTGGTAGTAGATGCTGGGCAAAGCGTGCAGAACGAAAGCCAAGAAGAACACGCACGCCGTCTCGTTGAAGGTTGACTCCGCGGCCTCGATGTTGAGCGCCTCGGCGTAGTGGTGCGAGCCAACGATGGCAACGGCCATGCAGAGGAAGGTGATGATGGTCGCCATCTCGGTAAAGCTGACGGCTCCCAGCTCGGCGAAGTGCCGGTAGATGATGTCCTCGAAAGCCCGCTTGGAGATGTGGTCGCTGGACACCACGTCGCTCGCGTAGCACACGGAGAGCACGAACCACAGCAGGAACGAGCAGAGCACTGTCAGCGGTAGGTGCGACTGAACCCACTGGTAGATGGTGATGCGGCGGTAGTTGTACATCTGCTCCATGAATGCCTTGACGAACAGGTTGCCGCCGCAGCCTACCACGGAGCCCATGCTGCCCAGAACGGCGGAGTACGAGATGCCGATGAGCAGGCCTTTCTTGACGGTGAAGAACTCGCTCAGGATGTGTATCACGTCCGGCATGACGACACCACCTTCGATGAGGTAGCGCGCCTCCATGATGGGCGTACCGATGCCCGCGGTGCGGCGCATGTAGCGCGTCCTTAACTCGAGCACGTGGAACAGCCGGTTGTCCTGGATGTGCTGCAGCGCTTCCATCGCGATGGGCAACACGATGGCGGCGGTGCGCACGGCGTTCGTCCACATCGAGACAAGTATGGTGGTGATGACGAAGCCACCGATGATGAAGCCCGACTTGCCGCCGAACACCAGCAGGGACGTCAAGATGACTCGCTTGTGAAGATTGGTCGCTTCGACACCGTGCACTATGAGAGCGTACCTGGAAGACGAATGGTCACTGTCACGACACGTGCACCAGTTTCTTAACCGCAGCCCGTACTTCAAGGAAATCATTACCCGTTTCCCTTGCACATATAAGACCTGTTATCTGTCATATATAAAAAGAGTTCCACGGAAAAGAAGTGATATAGGCCCGTAAATAACATGCATTTGGCAAACATACTAATGACATTTTTTGGATACATCTTGGTATTTTATTATTGCAGTTTTCAGACTGACTAACAACTTGCCAATATCACGATTACACTGTCTCCTGTTCACTATTTAGAGCACAGAAAATATTTGCTTTCGCAATACCCATCGTAGCAATAATACTGGAAATAGTTTTTGAAGAGTAGTTACTCTTCAATAGACATCTCTTCAATTTTAATTTTGTGATCTTGTGATGGAAAGCGTTTCTGCAAGTGCACATCTTATTAATTGACGCAGTGCTCCAATTTGGCCTAGCTAGAGCTTATTCATCTTAAGTTTGTTGTGTATCTCTTCATCTTCACATGCTTGCGTGAATGCTTTTGGATGAATATCTTATGGTCATGATCTGCATGCTGAGACCATGTGCACATCAGTGCTGTGCCCACTACCACTGCACATATTCTTAAAAAAGCCGGAAATGTACGCTAAAACTAGCAACGCACGACCCGAAAGCCGATGCAAAGTCCGCTTGCCCATGCCGACATCGAATTGACAGAAGCAAAGTGATGCGTACCCGATATACAACAGCATCGTCTCGGAGGTGTAGTACTCCAGAAGGTCTGACGTTGAGTAGTTGAGAAACGCTGGCGCCAGAATTATTGGGAGGAACGATACGATGGCTGGTGGAATGGACTGCAGCAAAAGAAGCAAAAGATAACGTATAGATAAACAAAATGGTGGATATCACACATCGCAGTTGTGTTGCACTACTGTCCGAATTTCAGGCCATGTAGCATCTTCGCTTGTACAGTCGAATAAATTTCGCATGCTTATTGTCGCCACCTCAAGTAAGACCCCAACGTACTTATCGACTTGTGACTGCAGCCATATATTTTTTGGCTTTCACCATTCAAAGCGGCTGACCGGAATAGTTTGTAAACGTAGGTATACAAACGTCTAAACGAACAAAACAAGAGAGGGGTGATTAGGCTTATATAGTTAAGCAATGCCAGTAAGTGCCGTTATGACGATAGCGTGGTAACTTTTAAACGCGAATTAATATTTTAGTCGGGCTATGTCAGGCATCCGGCGTTATCCGCGGTGATGTCCGTGCGCCGACAGGTGTATTCTCTCCGCTTTCACTCTCTCTCCCATAACAACTGTTGCGGGCACGCACGCTTATCTTCGCCCCTAGCAACCCGAGCATGTGGTGCGAGAGAGCATAGGAAAGGGTAGGTGCAGTGCTTCGACGCTCCTTCTCTTGCCATTCACTCTCCCTCCTCTCTGCGCCACACTATCCCGTCCGCTCGAACCTTACTCTCGACCATTCCCTGGCTGAGGACTCTCAAGAACATTCGAAAATGTGTGCTCGAGACGCCGCTGTGAAACGCCAGCGCCGAACCGAGAACGCTGGCGACCCACACTCCCGTCCGCTCACTCCTCACTCTCAACCATTCGCTGGCTGGGCGCCTCTCAAGGCGATGGCGGATGTCGGTGAAGGTGAATGTCTGACGGCAACGGTACCTTCTTTCGGCGCAAGAAATGCATTCACATTTCCTCACAATTCCGTTCGGGGAGGTGGGGACATTTTTTCCAGATGTTAGCTCTATTTGTTATTGACATAATCGTAGAAGACAATCGTTCCTTGGTACTGCCGAGACCTGTAGGGCAACTACTGATGACGCATGGTTGCTGTACATACCTGGAAGAGCCAGAGCAAGAGTACGTAGAGGACGATGAAAGTGCAGTGGCTTTCGGCCGAGCGTTGCCACAGCAGTGGCGTCAGGGAGATCGGGATGACGTACATGGCGAAGGCGCGCACGTAGAAGCCGATGGTCATGAAGCGGTCGGGCAGCCTGTGCCGCTGCCAGGTCCGTCAGCGAGAGGTCTTCCGGACTTGCTATCTGCTCTATCATGGCTGCTGCTCGTCTCCGTCGTCGATGAGCGGTTCCACGACGCGCCTATCTCGGAAGAGGGTTGCAGCTGTGTCGGCTGTGAAGTAGATGAGCGCGTCAGCTTTAAATGATCGCAAAAGTTAAACAGTCAACTAGCTAAGATTGAGAAATTATTCTCCGAAAACACCTCTGTCGTAATTTTCCCATTCACGGGTATAATAACAGATGCGAAAAATCCATGTCAAATGTATCACTTTTATTAAATTTTCCGCCTCAATTTCTCATGGAGACGTCATATTTCTATAAAGCTTTTTTGACTTCAGCCACATTGGATTCAAGGACATTTTTTAAAAATCTAGCATGCTTAGCATCTTCTCTCGCCAAGAAGACAATGGACTACTACATTTTTACTGATCAGGAATGACGTAGACCTGGTAGCCATCAAAATCTACTGACGTCACGGCGAATGGTGCGAGAAAATTAAGCTAGGGGCCGCCAACCACGTTTTATTTTCAGGTGTTTTCGCGCTTACCATGGGTCGTCTCGCAACAATCCGGCCCGCCGACTCTAAATCCATTTGCGCGTGTTCACCGCATAGCCCGAAATTCAGAGTGACAGCCTGACATGTAACAATGGCGTCCAATGCGAACCAGTGCAAGAATAGTGTGTGGTTGAGCGTGCCCTCCCGAACGTGCATTATGTCCACTTTAACGTTGTATGTTGCTCGGCCTTTTAAATGAACGTTTTCCTAGTTGTGTACACCACGGCGTGAATAGATAATGGGCCGAGTACGTTCGAGTGCGCCATCTCAACCGTTTTAATGTGTGTATCTTCACCATAGCACTGTTAGTATTACCTTACAATATCGCACGGGTAATAACTAATATGGCGACACCGGAAACCCATTAGTAAAATCTCCAGTTTCATAGCCGATTGATTGATTGATTGATATTTGGTGTTCAACGTCTCAAAAACACCGTATGAATATGAGAGACGCCGTAGTGGAAGGCTCCGGAAATTTCCACCACCTTGGGTTCTTTAACGTGCACCCAAATCTGAGCACACCGGCCTACATGCAGCATTTCCGCCTCCATCGGAAATGCAGCCGCCGCAGCCGGGATTCCATCCCACGACCTGCGGGTCAGCAGCCGAGCACCTTAGCCACTAGACCACCGCGGTGGGGCAGTTTACGTAGCTGGCCTATTTGTTTTGCCGGTGGCCGTTTTATGCATACGTCTACTCCAAATTTCGGGAGAGCCAGCTATTTTTTTTTTTTTCTTGACGGGAAAGATTTTTTTTGCAATGTGTGCTCTTCACAGGTTGATGATGCTCTTACCAGAGAAATCATGGCTTCCTTAGAGAGTCGGCAATGAAAAGAAAGTGTTGAACAACTCACCTCACAGCGACAACGTTGCTTTCGCGTTGCCGTGATCGTCGCAGTAGCCAAGCGTAGCACTTGGACAGCAGGCGTCGGGTGCAGCACCGCGTCGGGGTTTTTCTTCTTCTGCTCGAGATAGGCCACGCGCCTCGAGCTGCAAAATCTTGTATTCTTCCTCGCTCTTTATCAATGATGTTTTACGGCAGCAAAGATGGTGAAGACGACGATTGTATGAATAATAATAATAATAATAATAATAATAATAATAATAATAATAATAATAATAATAATAATAATAATAATAATAATAATAATAATAATAATAATAAAATAATAATAATAATAATAATAATAATATAATAATAAAAGTGAAAACATAATTTTGGTCCAGAGAACAAGCAGGGGAGACCCCGCGCCACCCGACTAGTCTCACGTACGGGCACTCTGGACGGTCAGGGTTTGATGGTTGACTTCGGGACGTCGCAAGAGCACTGCCCACCTATCCTCGCTGAAGGCAGAGCCGATGGCTTGACATTCCCACAACACATGGTCGAATGTTGCTAATAGTCCCCAGGCAGGGCAGTCCGCACTTTGATACCGTTCAGGGCACACGACATGAAGAACCACATGGTTAGGATACGCACTGGCTTGCAATAGTCTAAGGGCAACTGTCTGCGCCCTGCAAAAGGCAGGGTGCGGGAGGGAGAATACTCGTCTTCCACACAGAAGTGCTTTGTTAGTGAGGGTTCCCCGCGAGGCATCGTTTTCATTACAGAAGCGACATTATTTTGAAAAAAGCAGCGGATCAATTTCATCCAATATAAGGATTACCAGCGAACACTTCCAAATAGTTTTCACGCCAACACGAGAAGGCTAGAGCTTCCTGTCTAATGTTTATTTGAACAAATTTGGTTCTCCTTCACTAGCGTCTGTATGGGTTGAAATGAACTGGAAACGATAGATCGCTTTCTTCTCCCATTCCGCGGCTTTTCCTCACTCTGCACAATGTTTTTTGTTTGAAATAATGACTGGCAAGATTGGTTTAGCATCGTCTACTTCAGACGTGTAGTATTTCACATTCCATCAATATGGTGGAAGCTGCAGTGAAATTCTGACTGCGCTACACCAATCTATTGGAGCATCTGGGAGATCACGCTGGTAGCGCTACCAACCTCAGAAAACAATGTTTTTAAACTATTACTTTTTTTCAACACTTCCCCTGTTTATCTTGGAATGAACATCTGTTGTTTCTTTTGTCGCCTACTGAACGTATTAACGTCACGTTTTGTAGTTACCTTTTTTCGGAACTTGTTACAGCGCATTCTGAAGGACTCAATAAAATTTATTCATTCACCCATCAACATTCTTTCATAATCAACGGTTTGGTATATACCTCCCGTGGGTAAGAGCCAGTTTCTCTTGGCGACAAAAAGGAAAAAAATCACAGCATATTCACGCGTTGAATGATGACGAGTGGGGCGAAGCACGGACGGACGCACGGACGAACGGATGGACGGACGAATGGACGTACAGACGCACGGATGGACAAACGTACGGACTGATGGACTTTTCACCCTACTCATCATCATTCACTTCGTGGATATGCTGCGACACCGTTTTCATTGACATGCAATGCAATGCCATTGGCTACTATGACGACACGGGACATACGACCTCCGGTGTAAGGAGCTTCGCCCCTCAAAAACCTATACTCGCGTTGGTTAGTAAGTGATTAAATAGAGAACGAAAGAAATTACTCCTCCTCCTCCTCCTACTACTACTACTACTACCACTACTACTACTACTACTACTACTACTACTACTACTAATAATAATAATAATAATAATAATAATAATAATATAATGTGACGGGAAGTGAGGAGTAGTTCTTTTATAGAGTGAAGATATTATACACATGAAAAATCAGAAATCCCGATCTTGAAGTGCTTGTCAAACACGAAATACTTTCGTCGTATATGCCTTCGTTATTCTAGAAGTAGATCATTTTCGTTAGCTGGAAAGCATTCAGGCGTCTCGGTATGCAGCGCTTAAGACCTTCGCCTACTGTTATATCATGTATGGTTGTATAGGAGAAACTAGCTAAATTCGACATCACTTTTGGTTCATATAAATAACAGTGATATAGACGCGTGAAGAACTTGACAGCTTAGCGTTAAAACGTAAATGATTCAGAATTTGAAACTAAGCATGCACCTCAAAGCATGGTTGCCCCTTAATATATTTGAATTTCAAAGTGTCCAGCATATTTTATGAAAGTACTAAGCATCACAACATAAACTTTTTCTTTGTTTCAGTACTGCAAGAACAAAGAGGAATACAACTCCTTGGTCAGTGTTTCTTTGGGCGTTGATAGGTGGGATAAACATTGGGGCATTCTGGTCATACTGACTGAGCTTTGTTGCGTCGTTCTGTAGGAGGTTTGTAGATAATTATCCGAAGGGCATACAGACAAATTCTATGACTAGGAACGGAAGGATCAAAGAAACGACGCAATGTTAATTAAGTCGCTCCTGCTTGGCTGTGGAACGGTGATGCGTCACTGATATGCAGCCTTTTAAAACGCACATCACCGTAGCGCCACAATCTTTCAATGACGTTGCTCAATAAATAATTGTTTTGTTGCGCTATCTTGCCTCGTTGTAGTATCTCGACACCGACGTAACAACTTGAATAAATATCAAAGAAATATAAAAGAAAAAAAAAGGCGATAGTGTAATAGTACACCCGTGTGTACCTTTCGTAGCCCAATGAAAATAATTCGTGCAGTCCACTTGTCTTGATTATTCGGCAGCAACGACGCAATAACTGTCTACCTGGCGGACGGCCAATGCCGAGGTTCTTAATTATTTTCCTCCACGAATGGTCGGCTAGACAAGGCAGTAAGATGGAGAGGAAATCTTCGTTGTTAATTCAAAGGAAGAGAGATTACACGGAAAGTAAGTTATCGTTCTTTCTTGTAACCAAAATAGCGGCAGCTGGAGTCTCACCTTTCTAATTAAAGAGGCATTTCGAAAAGCCAGAGCAAGAGCTAGATTAACTAAAAAAAAGCTAGATCTTTAGGTGTTTGTATAGAAATAACTACATTTAAAGAATTACGCCATCTCCCGCTAAAAGGAACCATGTATAAATGCGAAGCAGCGGGCGCTAACGCTTACACTGGCGGTGACGTTGAAGTTGGCGCTCATTGCGGCGTTGCGCTGGAAAGAAACATAGGGAGGCGCAAATAACGTAGTTATAGACCGGTGTTTTCTACTGGAACATGCCAATCGCTGCTGATGGACTGTGAGGGACAGAAGACTGATCGATACGCGAAGTTTAACGTCTCAAATCCTCCAGATGATTAGGAGAGACGGCGTAGTGGAGGGCTCCGGAAATTTTAGCCCCCTGGGGTTCTTTAACGTGCACCCAAATCTGAGCACACGGGCCTACAGCAGTGATACAGCAGCGATCAGACACAGAGAGCCGAAGTCCGCTTTTAGCTAACCCTGACGCTGCGAATTTGTATTCTTCAAGAACGCAGAGGAGAAATCTCCCACCGACACTACCTTGGAGGTCAAGATCCAGTGCCTATACAGAGCTGGCCAGTGAACGGTTGTGCAGAGTGAGCAGTCGGTTTTTTCAATCAAGAAACTCGCTAGCAGAAGCTGCCTGCGTTGGCTTTGCGAGGCGAGAGAGGGGAAAGGAACGCGCATGCGCAATGGGGTGTAAGCACCGCTGAGAGGAATTCCTAGAGTGGAGAGGGGGATGGGTGAGCGAGCGTAGGTTAGTAGACGCTCCAAGCATCGGCGTTGCGAGGCGAGATAGAAAATGCGCAGCTGTTGAAGACAAGAAAAGAAGAGAGTTCCGCTTGCGTAGTGTGAGTGTGGACGCCGACGCCAACGCCGACGCTGCAGTGCATAAACCTGAGCAAGAGATGCTTCGCATCTAAAAAAAAAAAAAAGAGAACAGGCACTCATTGCCCAATGTCATTCGCCCTTTTCGAGCGCAGCTCAAGTATGGGGCCGCCTTGACTGTGACCAGACAACAGCATTACAGGTATATCATTATCTATACATACTGTCGTTACGTACTCCTTACCAGTCTTCAGCATGCCGCCTAGTTTAGCATTTCAGTTGATACTTGTATACGTGCTGCCTCATGAGGCGCGATCTAAGCATGCCAGTTGCTATTGAGGCTACCAAGCAGACCAGCAAGCGTTCCACCCAATCAAGCGTCTGCGTCGAGCACCACAGGCTAAATTGCTTTTTAATTGGTTAAAGAAACATCTGTTGTGTGGGGCAAACGGTGGCGTTTGTTTATTGCCACTGGTGAGAAGTTCAGAGGGTACCAGTTTTTTCGACCCCCCCCCCCCCCCCCCCCCAAAGGCCAACAAGTACACACTAATCTTTCGATTCCTCCAATACGCAAACAGACGGGATCAACTTGTGTCAGCACTAAAACTGAAGTTGGCTCAGTCGCATTCATTTGAAGAATTAACTTTAACGAACGTACCTGTGCCCAGCGATGGCAGCATTGTAAAATCTTGCTCTGTTCGAGCACTTCAGTGCAAGTTAAATGTTGACATAGCCACCCCCACCATTGTTCCCTTTGTTTTCTAGCGTGCGTGTGTTCAGATTAAGAGAAAGCAGAGCTTGTTGATGGGTAGCCGCGTTTAAACGAACGACAAGACGTGCTTGAGTACCCTGTCTTTCTAACATTTTTCGCGCTTATGCACACGCACGCACACAAAATCACTCAGAAACAGAAGTGATTGACCCTACCCCTCTACCCTCAAAACTTTCCGGCTAAGCCCAAAACTTTGAGGTGTGGCTAATACATGGCCATGTGTGAAGAAAAAGCATGCCTACACCCAGAAACCGCATTAACATAGCATGGCGTATTCAGGGTTAGCAGTGCGATGCCCTTACAGAAACAGATCGTTGCTGTTCTCGCCCGCACTTTCCACTCGAATAAAAAAAAACGAAAGCTATTGTATGTAGTGAGACGCGCAGTGCCATCAGTGAGACTGTCAATACGATTTTCTATCACTCCGCTGAAAATACAGCTTTACGCAGCTGCTCCATGTTTGCGCCTTTCGACAAAAAACGCGGGTGCGTACTTATGACAGTTCCGCAAGCGAGACAATGGTGGGTGGCGAAGGTGATGCAACTGGGGCGACGACAGGAACGTCACTGCAGGGATTCGTCGACAGAGCGAAACAGCCTGCGTTTGCGCCATACCTCGACGTGCTCGTCGCACTCAGATTCCCCACCATTCTGTTCGAGTACCGCACGACGTTGTCTATGAAACGCCGCAGCTGTTGTGAACAGGTCACGACTGCTTTACGGGTGGTAATGCGGGGACGTTATAGCCTTCTAAAAATCCCACATTTTTGCTCATGAAAGATCACTAAAATGTCCTTTTTAAAACGTCACATGTTCGTGTTCATGGTATGTGTTAATGATATATTGAACTTGAAATATTGAATTGGATCGTCCTGTGCTGGTATTCTTGAAGCTGGTGCAATGGCCATAGAGTAACGTTACGTATCATGCCGGAGTAATGTGGGACAGTCACTGTACAGTACATTAGTGTTTAAACATGCTTACACACTCATTTTCCAATAGCCTTTACGCCTGGCGAAAAAAACATCTAGCGAGACCAGTAATTGCGGTACAAGCACTCATATGCAAAAAAAAAAAAAGCCTACTCTTAAAGTTATCGGGAGAAACACGTAGCAAACTGGTTTTAAAGTTGCGCAGACATTTCACCTATCCCGTATAAGGGATTATATTTAACGTAGATGGGCAATATATAAACATGAGCTGCTCTATAAACGTACTACTACACAGAAGTAAAAAGTCTTCTGGATCAAACACGCTTTACCACATGCGCGAAGTGATCGCCTGTATTGAGAGCAACTGGTGACATCAAAAACTAGCCCAATTGCAAGGTTATGTAGATCTAACTTTTAATTAAACTGTCACGGTGGTCGTCCGAGTTTCTACTTTCAGAACAGGCTGTGAAATAAAATTAATATTGCTACAGAAACTACTGACGAAAAAAAAAGTCAATTGTTTACTAGGTGAATAGAACGACGAAACCCTATAAAATGCTGGCTACACCGCTTAATGGGAAGCTCGGAAAGATCAGCGCGTGCTCGAAGATGGATGGTACTCTGTCCCGAATCGAAGCACGAAAGCACACCACTAAACAACAATATTAGTTTTATTAATTTTCAAACAACAATATTAGTGTCAAGAGTCAAAACGGGATGACCCGATTGTATGCTCTTGGTGCGGACAGGAGGTTGACCCTGGCCCACATGATGGCTTCGCTTAGAGATACGGTCGTCTCAGTTTCATCCAGGTAATATACAGGGCCCTGTGAAGACAAAAGTTATGGCGAAAAAAGCAATGGCATGTTCACAGTTGCGGTTTGCGCTGTTCTGTAGACACTGTGTGCAGATACGTTGATAAAAAAATTGAAGTGAATTGAAATTCAAACACCTTTCACAATACCCAAGAATTGTATTTACAAGTTAGTGAGGACATTCGAAGTAGCATGATAAAAATAGATTTTGTAATCTAGTTTACATAGTCAATGGACTTTTCTTAAGAAATAGTATTACAGATCCGATGATTCCAATTTTATGTATTATACCTGTTTGAATGTCATTTTTTTACCAAATGTCTTGCAGTTTAAATATGTCTCTGCGCGTAATTGATATACCAGGTTCAACGTCCCAAAACCCCCCCCTATGATTATTAGAGACGCCGTAGTGGAAGGCTCTGAAAATTTCGACCGCCTGGGTTCTTTAACGTGCCCCCAAATCTGAGCACACGGGCCTACAACATTTCCGTCTCCATCGGGAAGGCAGCCGCCGCAGCCGGGATTCAATCCCGCGACCTGCGGGTCAGCAGCCGAGTACCTTAGCCACTAGACCACCCTGACGGGGCATTTCTGCGTTGTAAAACACATTTGTCTACAAAATGCGATCAAGATTAGGTCAGTACATTTGTGGAAAAAACTTGCGTTAGTTCACTGTTAATAAAATGTTCTATATGATTATAGAAACTGGCGAAATAAAGCAGAGTCTTTCTCTCCTACCCGTACATCCGAAAGCGTTGTGAACAATTTATCTGCAAATGAATGCCGGTCAAATGAAAGGTGTTGATGAAACCAAGAAAAATGTGCGTGGCTTTCATTATTGACGTAAGGCAAGAACCAACAGCGCAGGAAAGTTTTTCGTCAATCCCATTTTTCCAGTTTTCATCTCTGTCTTCTCACTTAATTTACATTCTCTTTATCTTTCTATCTGCTCCTTCATCACTTCCATTTTTACATTTGCTTCTCTTTTTTTCTTGTCTTGCTCCGTTTTCTCTTTCTCGCCTGTTTTTATATTTTTGCCTAGGTAACATTATTTCTCTTTCTTCCCATTATCTATCTCTTTGTCACTTTCTTTATTCAATCCTTACACCCCTTCATTCGCTCTTCCTCGTTCTCTTCGTGAACTTGTTCTAACCCGTCGGAGCACACCACGCCGGTCTCACGCGTCGGGTGGGCGAGTGAAGAAGACGCCGAGGAAAACGAAGAGAGCGCGAGCCGGCCGAGTTGTTGCGATGCACGTGATGCACGTGCATGGCGCAGCTGTGCCCGGTGGCCCGCACTGCGACACGGCGCGAGGAGGCATGTAAGGCACAACAGCTTTTCGTCGAGGCGAACCGTGAGTTTGCCCAGCTCATACAGCCCCCTTTGAAAATTAAGTCACAATGAGAACGTTATCGTGAGAACAGAGATTAGGGTATACATCGTTTGTTAGAAAATTCAGCTTCCAATTAATCATTCCACCAAACGTAAAAACCTGGAAGCCGAGCCTGCCGGCTCGGCTTGCCAGTTTTTACATGAAACTAAGCCGTGTGCACTACCCAGTCGCTTTCCACAGAACCAAAATAAAGTTATTTTTTTCCCTTCTTTCATTCCACCCTTTCCTTAATTTTTTTTTTCATTAAGGGGGCTCTGGAACACTTTTTCAGAATGCTCCAAAAATGCTACCGACCAGTGGGCTACCGAGTCATGACACGGATCGCGGAGTGGAACACATGATCAATTTTCGATGTCAGCGAGAAATCCTTCCCTCTTTCTACAAATGATGTCATATACCCAAATTACCGTTCCATATACCCTAATTCACGGTCATTGGCCGAATTGAGCAGCTTGAGCTGCATAGTCAGTGAGACCGCCACATGCCCGTGTGCTATCACTCAAGGAAGCCGCGCGTTCTAACAAAAGTAAAAAAAAAGTTCTGACGTTCATGACGCAAGAGGGACGTAACCTTTTCCCCTTGTGGCATCCATCCCTGCTTAGCTTCCACCGTGCTCGTAAGAGCGAGAGTAGAGAGAAAGCAATTACAGCGTGCGACAACTCTCCAGTAACTCCGAGTGTACTTGACGAATTCTCGTACTTTTCTCGTTGCATAAATTCGCGAGGCAACAAACTCCTTAATGAAGCCACTTGACTGATTACTTGGAAAAGTGCTGCAAGGTTTTTTAATGTTCGTTTTGTAGCATTTACGGTCACATTCTACAGTAGCATTGCGTGTTACGTCATTTTTAAGCACTGGTTAGATAAAATCGTCGCATAAACACAACTCGAAACATATTTACTGATTAGTTAATGAACGAGAAACGTACGGTTATACGTGTGCAAAGTAATGAGTAAGATCATTACCCGAATGAATGCCTGCAGAGCTGCATTTCCTAAGCAATAGGAAGAAGCTTGTGTCTCGAGTCAAAGGAATAAACGTATATACGCTGCGACATTTGTGCAATCCATCTCGGATGGTGGTCTCAAATGTAGCGGCCCCTTTCAGATTTCAGGCTAATATTAATGGCTCTGAAGATCTCTGCGAAGATTGCTTTTCCTAATTGCGGAGCTAATCACTGAATAGGAAAGAACATCACATTATTCTGCAGAGTTCCTTCTATTGGAAAAGCACATCACTTTGAAATCGAATCCACGATCAGGACTTCAGGAGTGCCAATTTTAACTTGTGAGGCATGAGAAAAAAACAAAAAAAACAGGGGAGTGTATATGTAAAATAGCAACGAGATCACCATTTGATTTTCAGAAAAACAAAAAGCGTGCCAGGCTTACGAGGCGTTTATTGAGTTTGTCAGAATGAGTATAAGATATTAAACGACATGCTTCGACAATGAAAATAACTGCAATGAACTCGATCGCTACATGTCAACTAATGAAATAGAATAACTAAAGTGTTTTTATATACTGGTCAGCTCTTATAGTCTTCACCGCGTTGTTCTGCATAGAAAACCAGCTGTTTTAGCCTATCAGCGTGAAACAGGGGTGGTATCACATCATGAAGCCTATTTACAGAATACTTTCTCAGAAAGAAGCGCTCATTCTGTATTAAAGAAAGCCATTAGGAAGAATGAACAATAAGAAGTTGGTTAGCTTTCACTGTATTGAATTGTGTTAAGGCAACGCCATAGCCTTCGAACAATGACAGACAAGAAAAGCGGGTGCTGGGGGGTGTGCCGGGTTGGTGGAGAAGGGCCCATAAGGTTCCCCGCACAAGTTTTAATCTTGGTTACAGGTATTAAAACAAAGCGCGACAGCAAGCACCTGTGTTTTGATATGATATGAACGTGAAGTGTTGTGCAATTTTTCATTACATTGCACAAGACATTAACGGCACGAAAAGAAGCGCCAGGCCTGCGCGGAACGCGCAGCACTGTCACAGCGAAAGTTGAAAGAACGGTCTTTCAGAGCCTTTTTAACACTCTTGACCTGCAAGCCCATTTGCTGGTTACCCGCTGGTCCATAAATTAATGTGTAGTAGGCAGGCATTCACTAAACCATTGTTCGTCATTCTTCGGAGAAGCGTGGTATACCCACTCCACACTTACTAAGAGCTTTGCGAAACTTGTTTGTACTGTGGCTGACTATGATGACTATTATGCCGGAAAATTTTGTAATCCCCACAATCACCGACGGTGATTATGCGCCACAGTTGATAGGTGAACAAGATCGAGCTTTTGTAAAAAGGTGGTTCACCCGACAACCCACTCGTGGCGCTATTCGCATTATGTGACATCTGGTTGTTACTTTGCTGTTCTAAAACTCTTTATTACTCTTATTAACACGATTCCTTTCCGACAACAAGCCTGCCTAAGGCCAAGGAGATCAAATTCCCGGCGTGACTCAGTGGTAGAATGCTGGGCTAGCATGAAGTGGGCCCGGGTTCGAATCCCATTGTGCCTTTAGTGTTTATTTACTAAGTTTTTATTTCATGCGATAGTGGTTATGGACACCAGCGGCGGCGGCGGACAACTATGGCGCGCACCCGACCCATGTGATCTCATAACAGCTTTTGCTGTAAAAAATATAAGACTGAAGCGTGGGGAGAGACGAGCGCGCTTGCCTGTGTCCCTTTAATACGTGCTTCGTTCATTTTTTCGCCGTCTTATTGCCTTGTGCTTCCATGAGGCTCTGAAGTGGCTGAGAGCACATTCGCTGCCCGTGAACGCTAAGTACCAAATTGACTCGTGGAAGAGCCCATACGTTCGGTACCTGAATATGCTTTCCAGTGAAGATGGAGCGACGTTGATCGGAATGCCTGGGCAGATTGCAGCCGGCGACATAAACCTCTCCGAATTCTCCGTCCTCCGAAAGTTTGCCTCCCAATTTCTCACTCAAACGGTCACTGTTAAACGCCCGGTTTTGTAGTATGCTATTCCTGTAAAAGGAAAAAGAAAAAGGAACAGAACTCGTTAACTCTTTGCGGCTCTGGACTAGCCTCATTAGAACCGTATACACCACAGGCCTTCGTGTACGTTTGCCGAGATGCTTTGCAGCGCGTTTACAAAATATTTAAAATACACAGTTGCACCGCTTTACGGCGAAATCTCACTTGTCACAAACACCACCATTAAAAAAAGGAATGTCATCATTTGCTGTGCGCGCAGCGACACATTTCCTCTGCTGCAGGGAGCATTGCCGGAGCCCTCATTCACTTTAGCAGCTCAAATTGTAAGCACACAGCGAATACAGAATTAATTAATTCCACCAACTAATTAGGCCCTTTGCTTAATGGCTTTAATTGTGTATTACCACGCACATTACACCACTCAGTTTCGCCTCATGCACAAAGGCTCCCTAAAATCATCGCGCCATAGTTCGATGATGAATGCGTTTAACTCCAACGTGCACATTGCCGGGCGAGATTGAATTTGAACCCCAATATTGTTTCTGAAAGCTTACGTTCTGTTTAGCTTTTTTTTTTCAGCATGGCGAGAGGGAAATGTTTTGAGTCTGAAGTTAACACGCTTGAGGACATTAGTAAAATGGCAGCTAATGGAAATGACAGCCCAAGTTTTTAACCACTGTCGCGGAAAGAGGAGTTGACGCTTCTTGTATATTCAGAAATCCCTAACGAACCCAATGTTTTTTTTTTCTTTCGGCTATATACCCATTGCCGAAGCGGGCGACTGAAGTCTGCGAATACACGGCGCCGCTAATTGGCGTCAGCCGCTGTGAGTGAAAAGCTGCGACTAAGTCTCGACTTTCTCTTGCGTTCTTCTGGAAGCGATCGCCCGAAACAAGAGCAGCAGTCCTCGTTAGTGGAGGCACGCTTAGCACACAGTTCAAACATGCTGCCTGTCCTGTAAATGGGCGGCGTGAATGCAAGGTATTCGATACAGTCTCTAAGACACATTGAAGTTTGGCGATGTAGCAAAAAGCCTTTTTTCGTTGAATACACACATCACCTATACACGTCAAGATTACTCTTCAGCGAAAAAAAAAAACCGTTGAAGTGTTACAGCCGAGAAAACAGTGGAAAAAACATCTTTGCTGAACTTCGTCCACACTGTGCACAAACTGTAAAAGACAGCAAACACTCGAACTTTATTATATCGTTCACTCTGGAAAGCTCCATCACAGAAAGTTTCCCGTGTTCTGAATGCAGGCTTGTACAGGGTGCTACATTAGGGAGATTGAAATGTTTTCTCCAAAGTTGGCATATGGGTAAAATATAATTTGCAATACACTGAAATGGCAGGTAAGAAAACGCTTGTTCGGACTTGTGACATTTAGGCACTTTCTCGAGCAGTAACTCTGGCCCTGGTCGTATGTTTCCCGACAAGACTAAACCGACGAACGTGTGGTTCATACTTACTTTGCGTCGGTGCTGGTGGGCATTGCTTCGCTGTCGTCCAACAGCACTTCGTTTTCTAATAACAGCTCCAGTAACTTATTTTTCCTGAGCAAGTCCCTGAAGGAAAGAAGAAAAAAGAAAGTACCTTTTTATTCAAGTATTCCTTCGGAGATGTCGCGAGCATTGCAATTGATAAACCGACCTGGCGTGGGCCAAGAGAGGTGCCACGACCGCCCAGTAACCATCACGAAGAGCTTTCAGCGCACCGACGTACGCAGAAAAGAACCTGAGCTCCTTGTAGAACCTACGTCAGTTAAGAAAAGAACAAACAGGATAATTGTGACATAAGGTGCAAATGTATACAAAATGTGTGCGTGCCCAGTTTAAAACTGCGAACTTGATATGAAATGTAATTTTTCTCTTCGTGCTTGTGGTATCAAAGCATACACCTAGTATATACTACCATCACGGTATTGATTCACACAGCTTAGTCAATAAGCATGTGTTTTTGTAAGTTAGCGCATTAAAATCAGCTTTAGTTTATTGACACTAACAATTTTTGCAGCTTGCCTTCATTGAAACGTGCCCTCCGCGCCGGGGATTGAACCTTGAACCTTATAAATCTTTATGCAATGCTGCAGTATCTGACCCATTGTTTAACGGACTTGAACCTCCATCGAGTTGAAACCACGATTTTCTACTGCGTTTTTCACTCTTTCCTCATGTCTGAATTTTCGCATGTTAAAGTCGCAATACAACCATGAGACATGAAATATGGGAAGGCTCCGGGAAATTTTCCCACCCAATTTTTTAAAAGATACATTCAAATATAAGTACACAGGCTCCTAGCATTCACTCACTCGTCGTTTTTTTCTTGGGACAATATCCTTGGATGTAGACATTGCATCCAACGCACTGGCCTCCAAAGGGAGTCGAGCGTCCACCGCCTAGACGATATTTGCTCTGCCAACGATCAAAAGAAAAAAAAATCGGTATAACAAACTTATCTAATCTGAAGATCACACGAATGATTCAAAATGAACTACAGCGAAATCGCATTCATCGAATGCCTTCCATTTCAACGCTCATTTTTTTACACATACGGCCACACAAACATAAAATCTAACTTTAACAAATTTCCTTGTTTTGGCACAATCCTGTCGTGCCTTTCGTGAAACAATAATCTGTTCGACTCTGAAAGCACGGATGTGCTATATGCAGCGAAGTGTTGAAAATACGCACATTTTCGGTAGTAGCGCTAATTATTACATTTGAAAAAGCAAAAAATTCCTGCATTCAGCGTAAAGTTACGCAGAACCCCTACAGATTAATTATAATGAAAGTTTCGTAGTTTACTTCAGGTAAGAATCAAACTCTCTGCTAACGAGTCGTCTAGAGTCGTCTCTGCATCACCTGGGCTTGCTGACAGATTGCAAAACAGCATCTATCTAAACAATAAGTGGGAATACAGAGGGGACGAAGAAACCTTCCGCGGTGAACCCTCGGGCTAGTAAAATGTGGATCCAAGGTTCTCCCGTTCAGAATAAAGGGTGGTCAAGTTTAACCTGACCGTCCCCGAGTAGGCTTGGCCAGGTGGCGCTGAGTTAACTCGCGTGTATGAGATCAGAAGTTCAAGATTAGAAATTAAGCAACGTGGAATAGGTAGGCTTGCTTTAGGAGCTCACGGGAATACACCAAATCAGGGAGTACAAGGTGATATGGGATGGACATCATTTGAGGGCAGGGAGGCTAGCAGCAAGATAAAATTTGAGAAGCGATTGAGAGAAATGGGGGAAGAGCGTTGGGCTAGGAAGGTTTTCAGCTACTTGTACATGAAGAATGTCGATACAAAATGGAGGAAGCGAACCAGGAAGTTGACTGGTAAATACTTAGAAAACAGCAGGTGGCCAAACCAAAAAGAACTATCGGTTAAGAAAAAAGTGAAGGAAACGGAGACTGACATGTGGAGAATGGGCATGATTAAGAAGCCCGCACTGGAGATCTATCGAACTTTTAAGCAGGAAATTGCCAAAGAAAGGATCTATGATAATACTCGGGGTAGTTCTCTACTGTTTGAGGCCAGGACGGGAGTACTGCGAACCAAGACATATCGGGCCAAATACGAAGGGGTCGACACAATATGCAGTGCGTGTGGAGAGGAAGAAGAAACTGCCGAACACTTGATAATGTTCTGTAAAGGGCTTCACCCTATAGTTCAGGATGATGGCGCAGAGTTTTTCAAAGCACTGGGATTTAGGGACAGCGAGGGCAAAATAGACTTTAAGCGGGTAGACTTAACTAGAAGGAGGTTATCTGATTGGTGGCTAAAGTCAAGGCACGAGTGAAAATTAAACCCTTCACGGCGAAGTACGAATCCTCAACTTCATTATTTAAAGGAAAAAAAGATAAATGTAATGGTTAGTTCACTAAGTATTACGGCTAGGTGGCGTTAGCCGCCGCCCGATCTAAAGGGTGCAGCCACATCCATCCATCCATCCTGTACTGTGGACCCTAATAAAGCTATTTTACTCACGCACTCACCCTTACAAATTCCCGAAAACTAAACTGATACAGATATCATTCTGCACCGCTTTTATTGGCCAGGAATCATAGCTAAGGATTATATTTAGTGTAATAAGCATCGCTGCAAGCTGATGGGTCTTCCCTCAGGTTCCCCAGTAGAACTGCGAATCATCAACCTGTGTTCTAGCCTTCCGGTCGATAAAGATTTCTGCAGCTTTCAAATAAATCAACCTTTTCTTGGTGGAAGCTATGCAACCCAATATCGACTCAACAACACAAACTAAGAAGCTTTCGCTCACCCTTAACGTAGCTCAATCCAACGATTAGAGCCTCGGATTGGGTTTCTGAGATAAGGTAGTACTGAACGGCTGCCATGCTGTCACCATCTTCGTTGTGTTGACGTGCTAGCGATGTACACTCCTCGACAGAAGGCAGAGAAACCTGGAATAAAATTGTTTATTTTGCCATTCTTAGTAGAGAGCAAGTGCTAACGACTGAACTAAACGTACAAGTTCTTCTCCTCGTAACTAACTTTTAATTAGCCAGTTCTTAGAAATGTGGCTTGGATGACATCGTCGACTTAGTCATGCAGCGGCACGGATAGAAGAAATGTGATTGGTTTTTTCCCAGCAAATGGTGCCAACCACTCGGGAAATAAGTCTCGAATTTGCCGGTACGGTGATTGAAAGACCGATTTTGAGAAAACTTTATTAAAATGAGAATAATAGGTGTTATAACACTAAATGTAAACTGACAACAATATTAAGACAAAAAGCTATCAGAAAATTACAGAAAAAGTGAAATTTTAACATGCAATTCTCGCCTTGCGTCAAAGGTTAAACACAAATTTTCTCTGCAACATCTTGCAATCTTTATATAACTTAGCTTTTTGTGGCGCGCATTGTAAGTGAACGAGCATTTTAAAAGCTTAGTTCACTCGCTTACTTAGCTGCGACGTAAAATCTTTTCTTTGTTGGCAAAGAAATCGTTTCAAAAAAGTATTACTTCTGCGTCACCCATCTTGTTCCTTTTAGACAAAAAATGTTCTTCGAGCACACACGTTGGGCTGCGATCACCAAGGGCCCGAAAATTGAGAAAAATATCGATATTGACACTTATCGGAGCTTCGCAACAACCAGCAGCATCGCCAAATGTCAAATATCAGAATGTCGTGAATTTACACAGATCGCTCCTTCATGCGCACATGCCATGTAGCAGTGTTCCCTTTTAAAGAATAAAGGCGAGAAAGTAAGAGCCAGCATAATTTAACTTTGAAAAAGAAAGGGAACACAAGGAAACGCTTCAGCAAGTTGTAATATTCATAAATTATCCCTGGGAGGATACATGAGCGTGCCTTTTTTATGCAGAGCATTCAACGGAATGAAAAAAAAAAGATGAAACTGCGAAAAGCCCCGTTTCTCTCTCTAACTCACGAAATATTCAAAGTGCTATTGCGAAACCCAGAACCACAATGCTCGCGTGCCTTTCCATTCCGGCCGTGCCATAACAGCAGCGCAGCGCGGGAGCCTTATACGTATGATCACCTTCTCGTGAAGAGCGTTCCTCTCGGCCAAGGAACATCCACAGCCGGCGAGGATTTCGATTCTCTCCGCCTGCGCGTCTTTGCACAGACCTAGCAGGTCCATGGCCAATTCCCTGGAACGATACCCACACATTCTCACTACCAAGTGAACAAAAATAAAGTGAGAAACTTCATCCCTTCAACATACACTTCGACTGCGCTTGAGAGCAATGAAAAACCTCACGCGTGCATTTTTTTTTTGCTCAGACAAAAACAAAAGAACGCTGCGTAGAAACCATGGGAAGTAATGGCGAATCAATGCTCCAAGCGGCACACAGCCCGCGTCTGATCTCTTAAGGCGTGGAAAGCTCGCCTCGGACACCGATGAAAATGTGATCGCGAATGTTATATACATACAGACGAAATCGAGCGCCTCAGTTTCCAAGGAAAACGTACCTTGCGATGTTCGTCTTATAGATGTACTAGCAATGCTCTCAGGAAGATTGCACACGCCGTCTGAATGGGCCTCGTTTTGCCTCGTCTGAATGGGCCGCGTATATGGCGAGTCTTTCTATAGTGGAACTAAAAGAAGATCAATCACTGGCCGTAGCGCGTAGCTTTTCCAAGCGGTGCCTGGAGGACAACGTGATATGCGTTGTCCCGAAACCTGGTTATGTCTGTTTTTAAGTGGTCTATTGTGAATTAAGGGGGCGTATACAAGTATACCAACTGCCTGCAATGCACGTTAGACCGCTTTGATGCAAGGTAATTTAGATGGGAAAAGCTCGCAGAGCGTTCAGGCGAGTTGTGTTGTTCACGCGAGATGATGTTGCGCAAGGAACATTGGTAACGCGATGCGCTAAGTGAACATTTGGGTAAAGTTACCTGCAGCACAAAGCGCTCGATGTCCGTGTACTGTTCGCGGCAGACAGAGCGGAAGGCAGCCGATGAAATTGTTATTGCGGTTGGTTGCCAATATGCACAGTACTAAAGTAACTTGTTTTGAAGGAAAGAACTGCAAATTCAAGGGTTCGTTTTCTTTGATAGACAATATTAATGACAACTATCATTATTCTCATAAATATTGTTTTGAGTGACCTGTTCCATGAACCCCTGAAAGTAAAACTCAATTGCGGGCCATTACAAGCCAAACTTATTAGCCATTTTGGCAAAGATCTCGAATGCATTAGAAAAAAACTGATCATTACTGCAAACTGATCAATACGCCAATTGCTTGAATATTCCGGAAAAAAGGCATTTAGCACATATTTGTCTTGGTGTTAGTCGAAAAACATTATTGTGGTAGTTCGTTTCAATGCCAAATTTAGTTTGGATATTAAGCTAAGACGGCTGTGTAACGTGCTTGAATCTGAATAATACTGCATTTTTTTCTCGCATATATGCCTCCATGTATTTTGCTGAACTGTTTCAGGCTTGCTACGCCATGTATCGATATGCAGGTGTATCAATACCCAAGGTTTCCCAATTGTACGAGAAAATAAGCGCGAACTTAAGAAAGAAGCAATTTCCGTTCACATCGAGATGTCTAAATGGGAGTATCGTAACTAATAAAGAAACTATTGCAGAATCATTTAACACGTTTTTTTGTTCAGTGTTTACTGATGACGATGGAAGTAGGCTATGTTCAAAAATGCTTAATGATATCTCACCAATAAGTGACCTTACAATATCTGAGGAAGGAATCTTGTTCTGCTTCTTAACATAGATCCCAAAAAGACGCCTGGTATTGATAGCATACCTAACGCGTTCCTTGTGAGGTATGCTGAATGGTGCTCGAAGTTTTTGTGCATAATTTTTCAGAAGTCACTGTCACAGCGCGCGCTTCCAGATGACTGGAAATTCGGAAAAATTATCCCTATACCCAAATCACCTAACACTTCTCTCGGCTACGCCTATAGACCGATTTCCCTGCTTTGCTCATGTGCGAAGGTATTAGAACATATTATATTCAAGCATCCCTCAGTTTTCTCGAGGAAAATAATTTAATGAATGACCGACAACACGGCTTTCGAAAAGAATTCTCAACCGTCACACATATGTTGGAAACCGTTCATGACATTGCAGCTATTCTAGATAGGCAAGGCTAAGTTGACATGATTTTCCTAGACTTCGAAAAAGCATTTGATCGCGTGTCGCATCCAAAACTTCTCGCGAAACTTAAACCTATACTAAAAAACAGTACATTAACTTCATGAATTGAGGCCTACCTTTCTTATCGAAGTAAACTAGTTTCTATAGATAACGTCCAGTCTGATTCACGACCAGTGAAATCGGGAATCCCTGAGGGCTCTGTGCTTAGGCCACTTCTTTTTTTAATTTTTATAGACGACATTGCCTATGATATCCCGGTTTCTATTAGGTTATTTGCAGATGATTGCATTCTTTATCAGGAAATACGTAGTGCAGACGACCAGGTTATTTTAAACGCAGTGTTAACAAAACTATCTTCTTGGTGTGCAGTGTGGCAAATGAAGATTAATGAAAAGAAAACGGTAGCTATGAACGTTACGCGCAAGCTGCTTCCTTTGAAACACTCATATTCCATCAATGGTCAAAAACTATCGTTTGTTAAAACTTATAAATATTTGGGGGTTGTATTAAGTGCAGATTTTAGGTGGAATGAGCATGTTGCCTACATTGAAAAGAAAACTTTACGAAAACTAGCATTTCTAAGACGTTCTTTGCGCAAATATACCCCAAAATTAAAATAATTGCGTATAAAACTTCTATACGTCCGATCCTCGAGTATTCATCTGTGGTTTGGGACCATCATAGCCAAGTAAATATTAAAACGCTTGAAGTGATTCGATGAAGAGCAATCCGATTTGTATATAATCGCTACAGCGCTCTGACGTCACCCACTGAACTGTTAAAAAAAGCTGACTTGGATACATTGCAGGCAAGACGGCAACACGATCGATTGAAGTACATGTTTCTACTTTACCACGACAAGCTACGCATAGACAAGCACGCGTACATAAAAGCGGTTCACCGCCGGTCAACTCGTTCCGAGCATCAAAAAAAAAAAACTGAAGGAATATTCCTGTCAAACAACAGCCTTTAAAAACGCTTTTTCCGCGCACTGTCACTAATTGGAATGCTCTTTCTGCCGATCTGGTGAACTGCGAAACCGTTCAGTCGTTCATGGAAAAACAAACACCAGCAACCCACTTGACTGATCTTTCTTTGCGCTTCGCCCTCTATTTTTCCACTGCGCATCCTGAACAGGCTTGCACTTTTACCACTTTTTTCATATCAATGCGTTGTATTTTTGAAATGTTGCCAATTTTTGAAGTGTTATATGATACTTGTTTCTTAGTTCTGTATGAGCAGATGTTCGTCATCATAGTTTTTTTTGTACGTGTACGCGTAAACCACTACAATTATGTAAGTACTGGCGTTTTACTTTGATGCACTAGTTCATGGTGTAGCTCTACGTGACGTGTTTCCTTTCCTGTTGTATATTCATATTTGTTTCCTTTTTTGTATCACCCACCCCTGCCTAAGGCCTCATGTGGGAGGCTGGCAGCACTTCTGAAATAAATAAATAAATAAATAAATAAATAAATAAATAAATAAATAAATAAATAAATAAATAAATAAATTTGCACCACGTGGTCATCTAATGGGAAATAAGCGTTGGAAATAATGGAAATAACAGCAAGCAAGTATGGTAAGTGTTATCGTTACAATTTTTGTTTTAGGAAGAGACAGACGTCTTCCCATTTTCGTCATACGGTAACTGCCTCATTGAAAGGACCATGCCGTCCAAGCCACACTTTCACAAGTGTGCTTTCAAGTACAACAGATACCCACTAATTGACAATTAACAAAGTTTAACATACTATTTACCTCTACATATTTACATTAAAGTTTATATTGCGATTGTATTGCAGCAGGTGAGGTTAAAGACAAAAACAGCGAAATTGAAGGCCGCCGCAAATTTAAATTTCAAGATGTATGTCATTAAAGTTGCGGCAAGAATGCAATGTTTCACAGAGCACGCTTTTGCACACTGAAGGAGCAAAGTAACAGGAACACGATTTATTTCCTCGTACAGAACTAAAGAACATTCAGGGTAACAGCAGTTCAATATAATAATTATCAAAGCAAGGACGCCTTATGAACTTAACTTTTATAGGATCTATTGCACTTGAATTGTAACTGATTGATTTGTGGAGTTTAACGTCCCGAAACCACCATATGATTATGAGAGACGCCGTAGTCGAGGGCTCCGGAAATTTTGACTACCTGGGGTTTTTTAACGTGCACCCAAATCTGAGTACACGGGCCTACAACATTTCCGCCTCCATCGGAAATGCAGCCGCCACAGCCGGGATTTGATCCCGCGACCTGCGGGTCAGCAGCCGAGTACCTTAGCGACTAGACCACCGTGGCGGGGCACTTGAATTGTAACTGGTAATAAAAAAAGATAGTTGAAACACATTCGTATTCGGGTAAGTATCATTTGTGACGTCCGCCGCACTCGAGAGTTTATTAATGCAAATAATTTCGGCTTAATTCCCTTTTGAGTTTTTCACTAATATTACCGGAAACGCATAATAACGAACGAATATTTTGTGAGCTTTATCAATGCAAAAATGTACTGTGACTACGAAAAAAAGCAGAGGAAGCTATTTTCTATGTATTCACAAGCATTGGCGTGGCTGTGTGGTAGAACATCGTCTTGAAACGCAAACATCTCGTGTTCGATCCCTACTCGGACCAGCAAACAAGGACAATCTATCTGAATTTTACGTCTTCTAATCTACTTGATGGGCGTATTATCGTTACAAAACAGTGCTCTTGTACATCCGTTAGAAATTTTAGAATGCATTAGAATTTTAAGCGTTACTTCATAAGCCTGATACGTCAACTGCAGGACCTTTGGCCTGCTTTGGGTGAACATTACAAGCTCGCTATAAAAGGTTGCTCTCCTTGTTTTGTGTGCTATGACGTCCCAAAGTGAGTAGGCCGTCGGATGGTTCAAGGAAATATCTAGTTCGGTGAAATGGCGCATAGTAGACGAGAACTTCGCAAAAAGCAAAAAAAAAAAACATTCACGAGATGAGAGAACAAGACGGGTGCTACTTTAATCAAACATATTTGCGGGCGATGACTCAAATAAAAGACCTCCCATGCACACCCAGTGAAATGCATTGTCAAACATACACTTCACAAAAACATGGAGAAATTTCGCTTTTTCTCCGAAACTTCACCGATGTGTGTCTGAAGCCCATAATCCATCGCTTCCTAATATGATACGCTTCTAGCAACTCTCAAATTTCTTCTCTACCTCCACCAAGAATCTTTATACCCCTCGGTTTCGGCTCACATGCCCTGCAACTTGCGTAATACTGTTAAGTTAGTGCCCCATTTTTGGCAAGTCGCGAATGCTCTACCGCAATGGGATATCGTAGGTAACCTCCATCCAACTTTCTACCATGTTTTTTTTTTCGGCAACATCTTTTTTACCCACCACGAGAACCACGCGATCGCAACTGGGCAACTTGCCTGGGAGCGGAGAACGCCACCGGCAGCTTGTGAATGTGTGTTATTTTATCTCAAAATTTCCGTAAGTTGAACTATCACAGACGCAATGGAGGGCGCTGGATAATTCTGCGTTTCGTACGGACCGAAATACACGAGTCGCCAGCTTCCCATCCCCATCGAAATGCGACCACCGCTACCAGGATCATATCAGCATGTTTCGAGTAGGCAGCCAAGTGCCGTAACTGCTATGCCACCGCGGAGCCTAAATATAATCAATTATCTGTGCGCGTACGACGCATCTCATACTTCTCAACACTTTTTTATCAATCAATAAGCAGTATGTGAAAGTCACCACAAATCCAAGCTTAATGATACGCTCTGTTGAGATTCTGAGCGAGCGTGTGATTTCCCGGCAGCGCCAATTCATTAGTTAGCGAAATCTGGCAGGCGTTTGCGCAGCTGTCCCCCAATCAGCATCTCAGCCGGCCTTGAAGTACCCTAAGTACATACGCGTTTTATACAATGTGGCTTCTTATCTTAGGAGGAAGTCCACAAAACGTATCCAAATCTGGCAGCCCATCAGTGCAGGCAGAGAGAGAGAGAGAGAGAGAGAGAGAGAAACTAACTCTGCTTTCCTACTCAGAGCAAATCACAATGAAGAGTGGCATCGCTTTCTACACTTTATGTTGAGCTGAACTCCGGCCACAATATTCGGAGTGCCATACCATCTCCAGTGCGAGGGACATTTACAATTTGGAACAGCCGAAATGCCTTGGAGTGAGACGGGAAAAAAAGTGGGAAGCTTAACTTTGATCAGTTGTCTCGCAGAGAGAGAGAAAACATCAAATTACATTGCTTTTGCGAGTACATAAGGGGTTATTACAATCGAACATTCCAAGGTCATTCCCAGCAACCACTGCATAGCTCTTACGCAGCCCACGTATAAAATAAAAGCTCGCGACTGCTTTGGTATTCACACGTCATGGGGATGCGAACACCGTGGCCACATTAAAATAACCTGCGTCTCCTTGTTATACCTCTTCGTTAACTAATCGCCATGTTATTTATAATATCTGAACGTTGATTTTCAATAGAGTTGGTGCTGCATGAATTGGCATGACGCGACGAATGGCAAGAAGGTGCTTGTAGCTCTCTTCTTTCTTCGTGTGTGGCGCTATTTTTTTTCAGCCGCTTCCTTACCAGTGCATGTGGCAAACCAGCCCAAACAATTTTCTTGCGGGAGTTGAACTCGAAGCTCCGTGCTTAGCAGAAAGTCATAATGACCGAGGCCCTGCTGGTCGCGGTGAAACCATCGGAATAAATTTGCTCTGGGATGGTTGTCACAGAAGAAGCTGCTATTACATTCTGGCCTAAACCAAAGCAATGACTGTATTTTTAGAAATGTGTGCATCCTCGTACTGCTTGCTACCTATTCGACGTGCAATACTTATTTTAGATGCGAAACAACTCTGACTAGACTGTAACCCTGTCCCTCCGCACCGGGGCGGTGCCAAGTAGGCCACGCCTTCCCTCGCAGTGAGCGCGTGCGACGTCACTGTCTCCCGAGCCAGTCGCCACTCGCTGCGTGTCATTTCTCTCGCTTCACCCTCTCCACCACTCTCAACGCTCGAGCCGACTCCTCCCGTCGGCATCATCTCCTTACCCGTGACATCTCCATCTGTCGGCGAGAAGAAGCCGCGAGTAGGCACTCTACGCGCTCTCGCGTGCCGTCCTCTAGTCTGGCCATGGTCCCGCGGCGCGGCAATGTGGACAGTGCGCCGCTGCTTGCCACGCGATCACGCCGACGGGTGGGCCGCCGCCGGGACATGCTGCCGTCACCGGCGTTGCGGGTTAGCGAAGCCAATCGCATTCGTGAATGGCGAAGTCGTGCCGAGAACACCAGTGAGGCGTAAGCCAGGGAAGTCAAGCGCAAGCGTCGGCAGTGGAAGACCAACGACACCGACAAGGTGCGAGTCGAAAGCGCCGATCGCGTTCGAGAGTAGAGACTGCGTGCTGGTAACACTGACGAGATGTGAGCCGAAGAAACCAAGCGCAAGCGTCTTCAACGCGTCCCTCTTCCCGTGTCTGCGTTTCAAACAAACGTCTACTCCAGTAAACGCTACACCGAGTTTCAGTTCAACAGGCTCCGGAACGCGCAGGAAAAGCTCGCGCATCTTTCGTACACCTGTCCAACCTTCTTCCACACAGTGATGCCAACTCGGCGATCGGTTACGTTAACTAAGTTACTCTTTATTGATACCTGGTTTAGACCAATCCGCGAGCTGCGTGCTACGTCAAGTCGCCGATCGCCGAGTTGACGTCACTGCGCGTTGAAGGAGATTGGTCACGCGCAGGAAAAATCCGCGAGTTTATCCTGCGTGTATCGGAGCCTGTTGACTGGCCCTTTCAAATAGTTGTTTCAGCACCCACGTCGACTTCTGTTTACTAAATTTGGTATCACGTGACGAGTATAGATAATGAAGGTAAACGACACATCCAATCATAATAATCATGACACGGAAGTCATGTACGGCATAATTTAAGTCCACCTCGTAACGTTTGGGCTGATTTTAAAGGGGCATAACATTTCTCATTCGTGCTTTGCATATCCTCGATTCCCACTGTACGTGGGATCTGCAAATTTTTATTTCCATCGATATCAATTTTTTACTCACAGACAACGCTAATGTTCCGCATACATTCAATGAAGCCAACATCAATATCAGAATTTCTTCAAAATTAATCGTTCAACGCTATAGCCATAAAACACAGCCGTTTTCTGGAGCTCAATGGCATCTACAGCCCGGCGATATGAACATGGCCACCCCCTTCAATCATTTCAGTGGCTTCTCCTACAGTACATATTTTTGCAGGCAGAGCACGCTTCACAGGCTACCTAAAATACAAGTTTTGGGGGGCAACGGAGATGACAATATTAACTTGGTTAACTTCAAGCTTGTCTTGACATTCTTGTGAAATCCCTCGAAGTGATCCCACATATCAAAAGAACCCGCTTAAAGTGAAGCTGCAATCAAGGCTAGTTGATGGCATTTTGTTTTGTTGTTCATCTGCCCTCCTCCTCCTCCAAGGGCATGCACTCGATTCCCTTCCTTGTACAGAGTTGCGAGCTTCATAGACGCACGTAGAATTAGTCATTTTTCAATAATGAGCTTTCTCATTCTCTTCACCCTCATCTCCCCCCCCGACCACCAAACAGAAGCGTCGTGAAGCCCTCATAGTGTGATTGGAAATTGAGATTGCTCACCAGTTTCCAGTGTGAGAACACCTCCAGGCCAGCCAGGAACAGAGTGACGCAGCCTTCGCAGGATCTTCGCAGCCCGAATGCAAGATGACACTGAGCGCCAGTTCGAGTTGGTTTCCGCGCATTAAGGCCCGCAGGGCACCCTGGGCAACATTTAGAGAAAGGTTTTCTTGAAGGGCATGATACTGAGGGAAATAGCGCAAAAAAAAAAAAACGGGACGAAAAAAGATTGAAGACACGACACAAGCGCTGACGAACAACGGTGTCTAAAATTTATTACACCTGGAAATATATAGCTGAAAATAAGAACAACCATCAGGTGCACTAAGAGTGAATGGCAAAAAAGGATCTGCCACGAGTCGCAAAGTACAAGTTAACTACTCAAAAACATTTCTTTTTCCAGGGTTTTCAAGACGAAAGCGAACATGTGCGTCAGTGAGCCTTCACTCACCCTCCCGGAAAAAGAGAATGTTTTTGAATAGTTATCTTGTACTTTTATACTCGTGGCAGATTTTTTTTTTGCCTTTCACTCTTACGTGCACGTGATGGTTGTTCTTGTTTTCAGCTATATATTTCCAGGTGTAATAAATTTTACACACAGTTGTTCGTCAGCGCTTGTGTCGTGTCTTCATCCTTTCTCCGTCGCGTTTTTTGCGTTGTTCCCCTCGGTTTTTGCAGAAAAATTGTGCTCGAGTGTCATCATGCAAAGTGGATGAGAGAGAGAGAGAAGACAGGCAGGGAGGTTAGCCAAGCTTGGCTCGGTTGCCTACCCTACGCAAAGTGAAAAAGGTTGCTCAGCAACGTAAATAATAATTCCAGGCTAAATAATGAGCTCGTCCCTCTGAAAAACCATTTCATGTTTCCGAGGTTTGGAAAATTTCTGGAGATTGAGAATCTGTAGTTTCTGATCGTTGTTGAGGTTTTACGTCCCAAAACTATGAAATGATTGTGGGAGAGGCCATGGTAGAGGGCTCCAGAGACTCTGGGGTTCTCTAACGTGGACCTAAATCCCATTGCCCAGCCATCGAACATTTCCACCTCCATCGAGCATGTAGGTAGAAATTCCACCGGGATTCGACCTCGTGACCTTCGGATCAGCAGTCAAACGCCATAACCACTCGACTATCGCGTGGGTAGAATCTGTAGTTCCTGGGGCCCACAGATAAATACCCATAGCATTATCCTAATTCCTTCATTTTTCACCAAATTTGCGAGGAAGGAATGACCAACTATCCCCTAGTCTACCAGCGCCTGTTCATACCAGCGCCTGTAGAAGAAGTAATAGTTCAAGCAGTCAAACTCCTCTTGATTTTTCGTAATACAAATCTTCTCTACAGGAGAAAACGGAAGTTCACATAGATCACTGAAACAACACGAAGGAGACATTGCCAAGAACAGCGTAGCACGAGATGCCTTCGACGGGTCTGTTTCGTTCAAAACTCGCACAATGTAACAATATGTCATGACGCAAAATTCATTTCAAATACAGAAAAGAACCTATGGGAAGCCTGCATCCCAAATAATTGATTATACGATATGATCAAGTTTGTGTCTCGGCGTACATTTTTTTTTTAGATTAAGATGATAGCAATGTGAAGAGAAAGACAAATTTTTCCTTGTTCTGACGTCTGTTCCTCTGCCACTTCAAAAAAGTTGAGAACTAGTGTCTTTGATGAGCGATAATGATTTACAATGACCGAAATGATTTCTCAAAAATTTTTGAGGCTTCAACTAGATGCCTGGTAAGCATCAGAAATTTTCATGCTTTGAAAAGAGGTCTAGTGATACTTGTAATAATAATAATAATTAGGGTTCAACGTCCGAAAATCACCATGTGATTATGAGAGACGCCATAGTAGAGGGCTCCGTAAATTTTGACCACCTGGATTCATAAACGTGCACCCAATTGAGCACGTGGTCTCACAGCATTTTCGCCTTCACTTAAGATGCAGCCGCCAGAGCCGGGATTCGATCCCGCGACCTGCGGGTCAGCAGCCGAGTGATTCAGCCACTAGACCACTGTTGCGTGGCCTAGTGATAACTGTAGTACTTGTTTTTTTAGGTGCGAGGCACCTAGGGACTATGCTTGTCTGTTTCCTGACGTCACAGTGTCACGTATTCACCTTCCATCATAAAAATGAATACGCGCCACAATGTTTAACTCGTCACCAGCCCACTAAAAATGAAGGCAACAATGAGCCCACTAGGAACTTGAACCGGGAACGTAAAGCATCACCTCCTTAGGGTAAGCCGCATTCTGAAGCTGTTTTTTGACAATACTGGCGGAGCTGGAACACCCCTTCGTATACATGCTTCGACCTTCTTATACATGATTCGCCCTGCAGTTTTTTTTCTCACTTCTTTAATCAGTTATCAAGTTTGAACTAGATGAACCTTCAGTTTGATCGATATCTTCTACAATCAGGAGAGGGCAAACAAGCATGTAGCCACCTACAGAAATTTAACATTGGTTAGTGAATACATAACGTAAAGCAGTGATTATAGTTTGTTACACTAGCACTTATACTATTCATGCGAGTGATTAGCGTAGCGCTGCACACTAACCAGAGTAGTACTGGGCAATTTAACGACTTCTAAAACAGAAAAAAAAAGATTTCAAACAGTGACAGTAAAAGACATACCCGGACGTCATTGACAGTCAAGTAACAGCAGGCCGCCAGGGTAGGCTTTCCTTCCAAAAGGTACTTCTCCGACATTTCTTGAGTGCATTCCTGTACAAGCCTATAACAAGTGTCATATATTATAAAAAAACTACCACAAACTTGCGCTACCTCTATGTTAAGAGGTGGGGGGTTACATAAGGAATGCATTCAACCGCTGTGACCATAGAGATAGTAACAGCTGTGGGCATGCCGGGAATACCCGTCAAAACGAACACTAGGTGATGGGCAAAGACGCAGGTAGAAAAACTCGAACTTCAATGAATTCCAGCAATGTTTTTATACAGTGCACTATACATTTCTGCCCATATTCCGTAATTGCATTGCTCCCATCTTCATCTTGACAGGTAGGAACATACATGAATCAAAAATACTCACATACAGAAGTCTATTTCGCAATAACTGATGAATTTTGTAGTTAGACATACAAAATAATGTGACACTTCACTAAAGTGTGTGGAGTTGTTAAAATACTTGTGAGTGTATTCGAGACAGTGCTCGAAACTTAACAGACATGGGACGATGCCTTTACACAGAGGACACGTAACCCAAGACATGCTGATTCACATGATGACGTGGCTGACTGTTTACGTCAGCGGTAGTTCCCACGCGAGCTTCACGTAAAAATATAAAAGCAGGGACGAGCAACATTGTCACTGGAAAGGATTATCTGCGACAAAGCAAAGATAAACTGCCATGGTTACGTGTGACGCACTCATTCTAGACCCCACGAGCATGAAAACGGATGACGCACAAGACCAACGATACGCATCCAAACAATCATTTCGTTGCCCTCAGTGCTTGTCGCGGCTTTTCTGAGCCTTCAGTTGTGCACTCCGTGTTTTAAAGACATGAATGTGGGTGGCTTTCTTTAGGTATTTTGGGAAACAGACATTGTGCGAAACGCATCAATCACTCGCTGCCTTTGAGAAAGGATTAATCAGCTTAGTACTAGCTAACGCGCCCGTTATGCTGAGTAATGAATGATGAGATATATGATGTTTTTTTGGCACAAGGGCCATTCGATGGCCAAAGAGCGCCAGTTCATGGGACAAGGAATGTGGACAATGATTGTGATTAGCGACTGTATAAGGGCCATAAAATTCCTCGCGGTAAGGCGGGTAAGAATATACAAGTAATAAAATCATAACCATGCCGTGAAAGGTGCGTGTGAATAGATGACAAAAGTTGGTGATAATAAAGGACGATGGTGGATATGTATGGCATTAGCACAAGTGCCTAACTCGTTCATACCCTTGCGTCCAAGGGCCGTGAGGCAAGTGCTTTCTTGTGTAACCACCGCAGCAAAAACCTCTCTGGAGAGGTCATGCTACGGGATGCCCGGGTATATGATATGAAAACTATGAATTTCTTTTAAAAACGCTAACAATGATTTATGACTAAAAAGCGGTTCCCTACCGACGAACATTGCAGGGTGTAAAGGTATATGTTGTCGGCAGGGTAATGGAAAGTTTTGCTTTCTTATAGTGTCCAATTGTTTGCACTGAATTTAAATGTGAAGAACTGTTAGTGCTTCACCACATCTGTCACACAATGGTGGATCGCCACCGGAAAAAAGATATGAGTGTGTCGTGTATGTGTGTCCTATCCTGAGTCTCGTTTATGTTACCTGTGTATGACGCGATTTTGATACTGGTGGCCAATGGCCAAGGTGTGGCTTGATAACGTGTAGTTTGTTTTGTATGTGTCTATCCCACTTGCTCTGCCAGTAGTCCCTGAGCCTTCGTTTGAGAGACGGCTTAAGATCAAGGGCCGGGATTGATATGAGTGTAGTGGCGGTGCTTTTGTGGACGGATGCAGCGAGCTGATCCGCCCTCACGTTGCCTTGAATCTCACGGTGCCCTGGCACCCAGCACACTACAACATGTTGTCCGAGTGTGTAGAGTGTGCACAAAATGGAGTAAAGTGAGACGAGGACTGGGTTTTTGTGTTTTTTAAGAGTGTGCAGAGCCGCTACCACACTGAGGGAGTCCGTATAAATTACTGCTTTTCGTATTTGTAATTGCTTGATGTGTTTTGCCGCCACAAGTATCGCGTAAGCTTCCGCTGTGAAGATACTTGTGCCTGGATGTAGAGGGCCAGCATCCGAAAAGGATGAGCCGACAGCAGCGAAGGACACAGAGGAGTTAGACTTAGAGGCTTCTGTAAAGAACTCAGGATGTGTGTATTTGTGTTGAAGTTCCAGGAAGTATGTTCGGATATGGGCAATAGGCGCATGTGTTGCAACTTCTAGAAAAGACACATCGCAGTCTATAGTCTGCCATTGCCATGGTGGCGGCTATGCTGCAGGAGCCATTAAACTGTGTTCAAGTGAGACTCCAGTTTCCTCAGCTAGACTCTTCAAGCGAACTGAGAAGGGCTGCCTCATCGAAGGCCTGTTTTGAAACAGAATTGAGCTCGACAAATCATTAATAGTAGAGTATGAGGGGTGCTTCTTGTCTGCTTTCACCTTAAGGAAATAAACAAAGGACGTGTAAGTTCTCTGTAGATGAAGCGACCACTCATTTGACTCAACATAAAGGCTTTCTACGGGGCTGGTGCGAAAAGCACCCGTAGAAAGGCGGATGCCCATATGGTGCACGGGGTCCAGCATCTTCAAAGCACTTTGAGACGCAGACTGATAAACAACGGCCCCATAATATAAGCGGGTGCGAATGAGGCTTCTATATAGGTTCATGAGACATTGCCTGTCACTACCCCACCTAGTACGTGACAACACTTTTAAAACATTCATGGCTTTTAAACATTTTGTTTTTAGATACTTGATGTGCGGTACAAAGGTCAACTTGTTGTCCAAGATTAATCCTAAGAATTTATGCTCCGTATTAACAGACAGACATTGACCGTTCAGTTCAATGTCCGGTTCTGAGTGCATGCCTCTCTTGCGGGAGAACAAGACACACGTGCTTTTTTGTGGGTTGAGTCGGAATCCGTTTTCCTCTGCCCATTTGGAGACCTTGTTTAAACCTAACTGAACCTGCCGCTCACACATTGCCAGATTGCAAGATCTTAAGCCAAGCTGGACGTCATCGACATATGTACAATAAAACATATTGCGAGGAATGGACAAGCGCAAGGAATTCATTTTGATGAGAAAAAGTGTGCAGCTAAGTACACCACCTTGCGGCACGCCTGTTTCCTGTACAAATAATTGGGAAAGAACCGTGCCCACTCGGACACTGAATGTCCGGTTTGACAGGTAATTTTCGATTATGTGAAACATTTTTCCGCGCATGCCAAGGTGGGACAGGTCTCTTAGAATTCGAAAACGCCATGTTGTATCATAAGCCTTTTCGATATCGAGGAATACAGAGAGAAAATATTGTTTATGGACGAAGGCATCCCTGATCTGTGCCTCGATACGAACAAGGTGGTCTGTGGTGGATCTACTTTCTCGAAACCCGCACTGAAATGGGTCGAGCAAATTGTTTCAAGTGTGATGACGTTTATTCGAGCCGAGAAGTCGCAACGAGGTCGCAACGGAAAGTGGGCGTACGGCCAGTCTGACAAAGGCGGCACAAACTCTCGTGCAAGCAGAGCACGGGCTTTTTGTTGTCTTCCGAAGGCGCATACGCGTTGGTGCGTATGCTCCACTACAATACCCCCGGGGTGAAGGGTAGCCATCCTGGCGACTCAGGGAGTAGGCACAATGAGGGGGTCGTAGTAGGGCTTGAGACGGTCGACGTGTACGGTCTCGCGTCCTCGACGGCGCAAATCTGGTGATTGTGTTAACGGCTCGATGATGTAATTCACCGGGGAGGTCGCGTCAATGACACGGTACGGGCCATGGTACCGGGCCAGAAGTTTAGAAGACAGGCCTGGAACGTGCGGGGGCACCCAAAGCCACACAAGGGAGCCAGCACGAAATGTAGGAGCTATGCGGTGAGCGTCGTCGTGTCGAGTCTTTTGTAGACCTTGAGCCTCACTTGTCAGAGACCGAGCCAACTGACGGCAGTCTTCAGCGTATCTGGCGACTTCCGAAAGCGGGGAGCACTCAGATGCATCAGGGCGGTACGGTAGTATAGTGTCGAGTGGGTGGGAAGGTTCGCGGCCGTACAATAGAAAGAACGGGGAAAAACCGGTAGTCGCTTGCGTCGCGGTGTTATAAGCGAAGGTAACAAAGGGCAAAACAGCGTCCCAGTTAGTGTGGTCGGAGGAGGTGTACATCCTCAGCATGTCGCCAAGTGTGCGGTTGAACCGCTCAGTAAGACCATTTGTCTGTGGATGGTATGCGGTAGATTTACGGTGGATAATGTTGCATTCAGCGAGGATAGCTTGGATGACCTCCGACAGGAACACTCGACCCCTATCACTGAGTAATTCCCGCGGAGCACCATGGCGTAGAATGAAGCTGCGGAGAATGAAGAGTGCAACTTCGTGGGCGGTCGCTGCCGGTAGAGCTGCAGTCTCAGCGTAGCGTGTGAGATGATCGACTCCGACAATAATCCACCGGTTTCCAGAGTTACTATATGGGAGGGGGCCATAGAGGTCTATACCCACGCGGTCGAATGGGCGAGCCGGGCACGGGAGCGGCTGTAACATGCCAGTAAGGTGTCGCGGAGGTGTTTTGTTCTGTTGGCAAGTGGTGCAAGACTGAACGTATTTCTGCACAAAACGATACATTCCTCGCCAGTAATAGCGTTGGCGCAGCCTTTCGTAGGTTTTCAGGACACCTGCGTGAGCACTTTGGGGATCTGCATGGAAATTCATGCAGATGTCAGAGCGCATATGAGTTGGGACAGCAAGGAGCCACTTCCGACCACCAGGCGTGTAGTTGCGGCGGTACAGAATGTTGTCATGTAAGGCAAAGTGGGCTGCTTGCCGGCGCAGCGATCTCGTGGAAGGGACAGGAGACGAATTGGTAAGGTAGTCGACTAACAAGGCAAGGTATGGGTCTTTACGCTGCTCCGAAAGCATGTCAGTGCTGTCGAGTGGTGACAAGGTGGTAAAAGGGGGTGACAGAGAAGCCACATCTGGTGTTAATGGCGATCGGGAAAGTGCATCGGCGTCCGCATGCTTGCGACCGGAACGATATACGAC